ACACAAAGATTTCTGTATAAGCATGGTCGTCTTGAGATAATTGTGATAGCAATTTTGGATGGAAAATAAAGGTATAGATAAAATGGCTTTTCAGTAAATGGTTTAAGATGCCAGGGGTGGGTAAAAAAAGCTATCAAATGTGAAACCTTTAGCTAATATAGTTAAGAAAGCAGGCTTGCTTCAGTTCTGTAAACACAGGCATCTAGACATACTGAGGTGCTCTAGGAGACCTGTGGCCTCCATTTGCCACTGCAGCAGGGAATGAGCAGTACAGCCACCTACCTGTGCCAGATCTCTCAGGCCCAGGGAAAGTCTTAGCCCAAGGGCACTATAAAGAGTTTATGCAACTCAGTCAAGACAGAATGTATATGTACTTAATGCTGACCATTTGCAGTATACTTCAAGATGTCTCATTCCACTTCACTGTTTCTGTAAGGATACGCAAACATGTTAAAATCAATGGCAAGACCCTGCCTGGAATCCATAATATGATGCTATTGTGCTCTTACTAATTTGCATTCCTGTCTAAAGAACAAATAGCACGATTTGGCTGTAGTGGCTGGTATCTTGTTGCTTGTGTGATGAGAATTCATAGTTCTTAGAATTTGCACACCTGTGATGTATAATATCTGAAAGAGTGCTTGGCTACATGATTTGCTTCCCCAATATGTAATTTGCTCTTCCTGTGTTTTTATTTTTCTTTCTACATTGTTGCACCTGTTTCTTTTTTACCCCTTCATTTAAAGGAAAAAAAAAAGTTAGAATCCTTTGTGTAATCTAATCAGACCATGAAATGGGGCTGCTATTTTAAATTTGAATTTAAAAATAAAATTTATTTTTCTAAAATTTTTTACAGTTTGAAATTTAAGATTTTCCAATAAAAGCATCTCAAAGCTGTACAGTTACTCTGTGTTACTGACAACTTATTAAATGGGTAATTCTGCTGAGAGAGGTTACTGCCACTGTGAAGCTTCCCTGTAGGAGACTGTAGGCAAGCCTGTGTTAGGATGCAGTTTTTGCCCTGAAAGGGTTACAGTCTGTAGCCACATAATCCAGCTAATTGGCATATGCAGTAAAGCATTCTTTTCAGAAGACTTCTTCCATTGTGCTCTTTCCCCTGTCTTTAGTGAACATTAGACCAAACATCAGTTTCTGAAGGGATCTGTGATTGCAACAGTACTGTGTATTTGGCAGCAGCTGGAAATGCTACAGTCATTTCCCTTTCCTCTGAGGCTGTATGTTCCTAAATATCCTCATCTCCCCTTTAATTAGTGACAAACACCTCTGCTCATAAGATTTAAATCGGTTGTCTATGTACCAAGTTCTGGATATTAGTTCATTACTATGCTTAGAGTGAGACTGCCTATAGTTTATTCCTTGGGATTTAAAAGCAGAAATATCTGGAGTTAATATGGAAGTACAAAATAATTGAGAGAACTTGAGAGAAAGGCCTACTGACAACATATTTTCTGAAGGCTTTTGATCGTATAATGGAGAGACATTATATATTCTCATTTATCACCCATGTGTACAGAAAAGATTGGGCTATGTTATTTTTTACAGTTTTGTTTTGACTGACTCTAATTATAAGCATACTTTTACTTTGTTTTTTAGACCTGATATGCAATCTGCATTTGTTGTTCTACATTTACTACCTAGACACCAAGAGTGGATGTAAAATTCATGAAAACGGCAGTATAACAATAGAGTATGAATTTCATCACTTTTCTCAAGAAAGCAGACCAACACGGCTCACATTTACAAAGTGAAAATCATCTAATTGTTAGCTCTTTTTAAACCAAAAAAACCCAAACAACCCCCAGACCATCTGTCCAGTATGGGCTTTTTGTGTTTTCTTTTTTTTTAGGGAGTGTCAGTAGGTCAACAGTTTCCAAGGTTGGATGCAGTTAATTGCTATAGTGGTTTTATTGGTCTACATTTTTATCTTGCTGGATTTAATGTGTTTGAAGATTTGCCATTGTTTTGATTTTTTAAAATTTTTATTCTTATTGAGTAAATGAAGGAAGAATGAGAGAGAATTCTGCCAATTTAGCTGTTTTGAAGTTTTTTATCTTTCTTAACAGTAGCTTTGAATGATTAATGTGAGCAAATGCCTTTTAGTGTTGTCTGCCAGTGGAAAGTATACCTGAGCTCGTTCAAGTGCTGTTAATGAAAATGTTAAAAGCAGTGATTTGTTATTGCTGCTGCCATTAGTTACTGTTTTATGAATCATGTGGCCTGATTAAATACGCTGTTGTTGTCACGCATCTGGTAACACAAAAGAAAAATCAAGTGATCTCTACCATTCAACAATAAATCTATTTTGGGAAAAGGACCCTTTCTTCCAACTTTAAAAAAAAAAAACCCAACAAAAAAAAACAACCCAAAACCAAAACAAAACCCGAAACAAAAAAACCCACCAAAACCAAAACAAAATAGCTTTTAGTTATTTCTGGAAGGAAATATAAAGTTAATAAGCCCTCCAGCAATAAGGGTTGCTAGACTCATGACCTTTTAGCAAAATGAATGCTAAACATTTCATGCCATAAAAATGTGAGTCCCTCTATGATTTCTCTGAGCATTCTCTGTGGATGATTTCCTCCCCGCTCCCTTTCTCGATAATCCCCTTTCTGCAAGGAGAAAGTTTCTCTCTGTCAACAGAACCTGACCAGCCTCTTTGTGTAACCCTTTCAGAAGACTGCATGCTAAGCCTGTTTGGATATGGAGAGATATTATCCTTGGTCATTACATGCCTCTTTCCACTCAGAGACCAATATCCAGCTCTTCTGAATTTCTAATCCTAACAGAAATGGGAAGGCTTTTTTGTTTTTTCCTGTGCTCAGGCTGGCTTTTGTCACAGATCTGCTTCCCTGCAGGAATTGCTTTTTAATAGTTCCTACAGTTTTTCTTTGCTGTGAGGCTGTGGCATCTGCAGGATCAATCAAGCCAAAGTCCAATGTACTGTACATACATCACAAGTTAACAGGAGCAAAAGCTATACTATGCCTAGCTGGATTTCCTACAGAGTCCTTGCTTGCCAAGAGTGGTTTTACGAGCTGAATATCTCTTTTCTTACAACACTGAAGTTCCCTTAAAGCTTTCTGTACTAGCGTAGATTATGCTCGGACTTGCTTTGTATTATGCTTTAGACATGTACATAAATTCTAGCTTGAGAATTTCATAAAAATTATGGATAAAAAGAATTTGTGGAGCCTTAGATAACTGATGATAAGTTACGACATGATCGCTTATACCATAGTTCACGTGTTGGCATTACAGCACACATACACAGTTACAATTTATCAATATAGCTTCATAGAAAGCCATAGAAATGCATTTTGTAGCTGTGGATAAACATACTTATCTGTCGCCAATAAATCACTGTCCCTCTTCCCAAATGTAACCTATATTGTGCACCACAATAATACCACTGCTCATAGGCCCTAAATAATGACTTTTTTTTTTGAGGGATTGAGACTCAACCTTAAAATGTATTTACATATATTATCTTATGACACTGGCAAGAGGAACATCTTAGAAGAACAACTATGGGTTTTCCTCACTACAAGATAGTTGCCACAAGAGTGAAACACAATTGTTTGTTCACTGTCTGCACTGACCTGTGTTTTCGTGCTTGCCTGGTAAGGAAAAGGCTTAGATTTTCACAATGGAAAAACAGGGAGGTCCTCAGTGAGAACAAAAACTTCCTGTGGTTAAGTAAGCAGCGCAGTGAACTGCTGTGAGCCTCCTGTTGGAAGACTAGGCTTTCCCAACAGAGGTGAGATGATGATTTACTACATTGTCACAAAATTGCCTCTTTAAATTAGGCAGCCAAGTTGCAGCTTAAAGTAAACTGTTAGAAAGTATGAACTGGCAACAAGATTGAAGTAACCTCAGTCAAATAAATGTATCCAACTGAATAAATACTTCATTTCTCCTATGAAGTCATCACAGAGGATCAGTGTGATGCTATTGGGGTTTATGGGGCTGCTGTCAGAATGACTTGTTCTTTGTATTCCTTGGAATAATGCAGCTTGAGAGGATGCTAGAGGATGCTAGAATCCCTGATTTCCTACAGCTTCTAGTGTCTATGCTGAAGTCCATTGAAAGAATTAAGAGATTCCAGTTTTAATGAGACTTGGTCAGACCAATTTTTGAATGTAAACAGAGTACTTCAATACTTGACCAATGAATCAGCAAGTTGTCTTTTACAGTTTATGCATGAGAGACAGACCTACTTGTGTAACAGTATGATGATCAAATGTCAGGTCTGCTTCTATCTAATTATTAGGGCACCTGAAGGGAAAGCAATATATTTCTGTGTCCATACCCAGAAAAAAATGACAATATACTAATGACTTTTATCACTGGACATAAATTCAGGAAACACTGGTAGTATTATAGTATACTGTAGACCAAGCACCTTTATAGCATATGTTGCACATCATAATTCAGCATAAAATCAACTCTACACCATATGAATACTACAGTTCATAGCTTAAGATTAAGCAAACAGCTGTACTTCACAATTTATCTTTTACTTTGAAAGAATATAAGAATACAACAACAACAAAGTTATGCAGATATTTTTTCCTTTTGTTATGTATAGCCAAATAAACACTTATTTCCTAGCAGCAAAACTATTTTATTTCAGATCTCTCAAAACAAGAATACTGACAATATGTTGTTAAAGTTGTCATATATCAATAAAAGACTAGAAACTTAGGCTATCATTTTTGGCTGAAACTTTTTTATACCTAGTTTTTACTAGTTTTTAGGGTTTTATTGAGGGGAGAGGAAAACAAGACCAGAACTATTCCATGGGAAAAGAAAGGGAAGGGGGAAGATAGTGCCTCACCAATTCTAACACCAATGGAACAGTTTAGCAGATTAGTAATAATATTTGTCTACTGCCTAATTTCTCCTGTCTACTTTAAATCTTAAAGACTTGCATGCCAGAAGAAAGCTTTCTAAATTTTCAACCTTTATCTTTAATTTACCATTGAATTATTGCCATTAGCTTGAAGGCTGTGTTTGAGTTTTTGATAGAACTTTGATTCAAGAAATCGTGAATAAGAATCTCTTTCCATGTGCATGTAAATTATTCTCTGTGCTTCATCAAAACAGGACTGTGTTGGTTCTTGAATATTCCTTGTAATTGTTTTCCTCACAGGACTGTCAGTGTTAATCTGAAATGGAAAACAACATTACTAAAGTATCACTGAATATATGCAAAGGAAGAGTAAGGAAGATTGAATTTAGGGGACCTGTACTGAATGCCCTTTTATTTATATCTTTTTATATACCATCTAATCTAAAATCAGCACCTAACCAAAAACATTGATTCTAGCAGAGTAGATTTCTCCTTGTAATGCCAGAAAAGCCCATCTTATTAGTTGACCAATTTGCTCCTCTCTTGGTGTTCAGCTTAGTAAGAGGTACATTAGTGGCTGGATGGGGAGTTTGCTCCCTTGGGGACAAGAAGCCTGGAAGACTGGGAGGTGTCTGAATTTCCCAGTCTGCCCCACATCCTTAATGTGGAAAAACCAGTTTAATCCTGACTATTGTGATCAGTGGAGGTCAAGAGCAGGGGTAAAGTCATTACTGCTGGGCCCATGTGTAGAATATGGGCTGAGGACTTCACACCTTAGGGAGGTTAAGCAGTATATGTTTGATTTGCTCACTACTTCTAGAAAGAATAAGAACATATGTATGATGTAGGCAGAGGAAGAAGTCCTGAGGACATATTTTGCATGGAGTGGCTGCAGTGGAAGGAGTAGCTGAAAAGTGCTGACAGCCAACCCCGCTGTCTTTTGCTAAGAATTGTTCCAAGAGCTAGGATTAGATCCCTGAGGAAGAAGTCTGACTTTTGATTTCTAATAAATCCAAGTGGCTGGAGGTGCACAGTACTGGTGAAAACCAATTGCTAAAATTATTACGATCTCCAAGATGAGATAAAACTGAGCCTGTATATGAACCTTGTTTAGGAAAAGTTTTGATTCCTAGATAACTTCTGCAATCCAGGGTTTGTAGCAGATAACTTGAAGCTCTGTGGGTGTGTAAGAGTAGAAAGGCCTAGTGATAGGAAAATATACCAGATAAAATGGTAACTTTTGATAATCCATTAGCTCATGATGAATTATATTGCTTTTTTTTCAGCTTGACTTAGTCTGTTAGTGTTGAAAGGAGAGCTCTAAAGATGTGAAGTGAGTGCTGATGTCTTTCATGGGTTGGGATCTTGCTCTTCCAGAGGAGTCATTTGAGTTGCACCTTTTTAAATGCTGCTGAAATTTGAATATAAACTCTGTTTAAAATCCTCATGAGCATCTACCTTTTTAAAGTGGTACCTAGTTCTTGTGTGAATAGTGAATATCAAGAAAATGTGAAATCGGTGTGTTCTGAAGACCTAGAAACCAGACAGCCAATAGCAAGATTCAAATACATACTATTTTAGAAGAAAAAAAAATTACACAGCTTATTTCTGACTGTCCTGATTTAAGCCCTTACTTTTGATTAATGAATTTGTGGTTGGCAATACTGACATTTCTCTTCTGGAAATGCAAATGTCTTGCTGAGTTTCCTATAGCTGCACATACTAAAAATAAAATCAATCAGAAAAATGCATTGTCTTTCCAATTGGCAGTTAAAACCAGCAGAGGGATCTTCCAAATTTCCTCAAGTTTTGGATTAGTGGGAATGGTTTAGTCATTTAAAGAAGCAGCTGCTCTTGGCCAACATTTAGGAATCCAGCTGAGCTGGTTTTGACTTGCCTTTCAGTGTCAACAGGGAGGCTGCATTTTGAGACTCTACAATAGTTTTATTGTTATGCATAAACTAGAAAATAATCTAGCCTGATTTTTCAGTTACGTCAGTCTGCCAGAGGCAGCAGCAGTTGAAGCCAGCATTAGCTTATTTTTGCAAGAAGGCTAATAAGCAGGGATAGTTAAATGTCATAGAGCATGAGTGGCTGAGCAGGAATGACTTTTTTTGTATAGCCACTTGTCAGAAAAAAAAATCACTCTCAAACATTTTACATATAAATCTGCTCTGTTTTCCCTAAATCTTGTGCTGCTGGAAGCAGAAAATAATTAATCTGTCTTGGAATCTTTTTTTATTTAGCCCATTTTACAAAGGGGACAGCATTGGGTAGGGTTTTTACTTTGTTCATTTATATTCACTCTTGTAAAGACCAGAGTAATATATACATGTAGTAATCGCATAATCCAAAATCTATTGAAGTGATATCAGTGGCCCCTGGATCAGAGGCTAAAAAGAATAGAGCAGATCCAAGAACTTGTTTCTTAATCTAGTTGTGCCTTTTGCTTGTATCCTTGGTGGATATAGTTGAGAGATTTGCCTATAGACAAGATGTGAAGGCAAGTATTAAAATTCTGGGTGCAAAAGAGGTTGGGGAGGATGAATAGCAACAGTTTTCACTCTGTCTGATACAGGAGATGCTAGGCATTTGTTGCTGCTTTTTGTCAGCTACATTACACATCAGGCATTTCTATTACAAGAAATAAAGAGCTCATATTATTTTATGTCACCTCGTTGGGAGCCTGGGGTTGAATGTAAGTTGTGAAAAGTTTCCTGGCCACGGAAATTCTTTTCCTCTGTGACATGATCTTCTTATAAGCTTCACAAGCGAGCCAGAATTCTATGTCTTCATCACTGTGCTCTGTCTTCCAAGTAGGTCTTGTAGATCAGGCCCATCTGTAAATATTTCAGAAGCCAAATTTATATGCCGTGTATATACACATTACCTTTAGAGTCCTTTGAAGGCAACAGGGACATTTACAAGGCAGTATAATTCTTGATTGTACACCTATAAATATTCTTATTAGATTATGTCAAAGTGGGGAATTAAACACCCTAACTCACCCTGGAGCCCTATACTTCAACATTGCATTTTCTTGCGTGTGCAGAGCTCCCTTTAACCTCAGCGGCATTTCACTATGCAGGGACAGAGCACTGAAAACTTTGTTCTTCCTGGTCTCTGTGAACACTATCAAACATATCCAAAGACTGACAAGCATTTTTAACCTCCAGTTCTAGTTTTGTACAGGAGATAACTAAGTATTATCAAATAATCATGATCTATGTAAAACAAACAAACAAACAAAAACCAAACAAAAAAAAAAAACCCACAAACCCAAGCCCCTGACCTTTTTTTGGTGTAAGAATTTTGGGAAAAAGCAATTAGCAAAAAAAGGAAATAACTGTTTTCTTGCTGCTGTAATTGAGTGAAGTAAAGCAGTTAAAAAAATACTCTATTCATCAAATAAGTGGTTCTGCACATGGGGATGTCTTTGAAATACCTGGCAATGGAGTTTGACAGCAGAAATCAGTGGGATCTTGGCAAAGATTAAATTCCTGAGGCTGCCTTTTGTCATGTCATTAGACTTGCTTTGTATAGGATTAGGTGACAGTTGCTAAAGTGCTTCTAGCCGGGAGAACATTTATAAGGCTTCACTAGGTGCTAGCACTTTATGGTGCTTGCAGCTAAGATGTGCTTTCAGAGTAAAACCTAAGATAGACAAATACTTTGCCTACCTTTCATAAAGAGTTGCAAATCCATTGGCTTTAGAATTTCTGGCTTTTCTTGTGAGTACACCTTTTGCATTTTCCGATGTCATTAGGCATTTAAATGAGTTCAAAATCAACGGATAGTGCCATCTAAGTGCCGTGAACACGGTATTTTAAGAAGGGCAGCATCCAAATACTGCTGGAAGCTGCAAGCGTTTTATTTAAAGCAAGCTTTTCTGCTGGTGCAGCACTCCAGGCTTCATGTTTCTAAAGATATTGAGCACTGCCTGCCATCTGTCAGTAATGGTGATCGCATGCATGCCTGCTGCTTGTGCTATAAATTTGTCTCTTCTAAGTGTTTTCTGTTGTACACTTTCTCCCTGTGCTTTCCCTGCAAACTGTAATATACTAGGTTGTTTGCTGTTAAAGATTTTAATGGCAAAATCTTTTTCTTTATAGTTGTTACAAATTCTGTCTGTTAGTCCTCTTGCTCTTTGTAGTTTGTAAATAATGCTGGTCCTTAAGAATAGTTTTGAGAGGTTTGTGCTGTGCTGTAACTCCATACATGACTTTCTCATCAATATTTAAAAAAAAAAAAAAGTAATCCAGCAGTGATGTTCCAGACTGCTGGCCATACAAGAAATGTGGATGAGCGCCAAGCCCTGAATGAGGCAGGGGGATGCTGGAGTGGGGAAGTTCAGATTTGCTACTGCAGCTATAGATCTTCCCATACCTGAGATGAGGGTCTGAGTTACCTTCCATGGTATCACACTGTATAGATGTACCATTAGCTATGGTGTCTTTGCCATACACAGAATTTCCCAAGTCAACTTCCCTTTCACTTTCTTCTAATATATATTGCTATACCATGCTCTAGGTGGGAATATGGCAGATAAACCTGCCCTTATCACGTGCCTTTAAAATCATTACCTGTGCTTGCAGAAATGGCAAGTTTGGGGAAGCATTTACAGCATGCTACATTTATTTTCAGTGTGATGCATGCCAAGCATGTCACACAATGTTGTTTTTCATTAGTTGCATGTAAGACAGCATACATTATACTGCATGACTTATTGATTTTGCTTTGTGGGAATTTTTCTCAGTAATCCATCTGGGTTACAAACATACAATTACTTACATTTACTTGTTATCAGCTTTTCAAAAGACTGGGACCATTGTAGCACTTCCTCCAAAGACACTCTTTAGAAAAAAGGAGGAGATTATTGTAGGATTAGCTGTGGTTCAAAGTATGAAAAAATTATGTTCTTGAAAATCTGTCCCCTGATTTAAATAAGATCTGTATGAAACTTACATTTTAAAAGGTTTTTCTGTGTGTCCCAGATCTTGTGCTTACTATGCTGAAGCAAATGTTCTTCTTGCTGTAACAAATACAGTTCCATCTCAAGGTACTCCCATGTAATTCCTTTGGAAATGGCATTCACTTATTTAAATTGTGCTTAGGAGAAGCACAAGGAAAGTACTAGTTTTCCAGATAGCAACTTCTTTGGGACAGGAATCATTATATAGCTTGTTTATGAAATGTTGATGTCTAGTAGCAAAGTCTTTAAGGGCTCAAGACCTTATTGTAATATTTAAATACCTTTAACATCTAAGTTGACTTATCAGCTGAGAGCTGAATATATGGGCTTAAGCTGTGCCAGGGGAGGTTTAGGCTGGAAATTAGGAGAAATTTCTTCATGGAAAGGGTAGTCAAGCATTGGAACAGGCTGCCCAGAGAGGTGGTGGAGTCCCCATCCCTGGAAGTGTTCAAAAAACGGGTAGATGTGGCACTTTGGGGCATGGTTTAGTCTAGTCTACCCTTGATTGGCTTAGTGTGGATTTGGTTGTGTAGGTTAATGGTTGGACTGGATGATCTTAAAGGTCTTTTCCAACCTAAACGATTCTATGATTCTATAAGCTCTGAACATAAGGTAAATAATGAAGGGTTAATAAACCCTTAGCTGTAAGGGACTTCCGTCTCTCTCCAGTTGTTTACAATGCAGTATGACACATTATTACTAATGTAGACAGTTCTTGGAGGTGACTAAAATCTGCTCTCTTTCCTTCATGTTTGTTCTTCTTAAGCAATAATTTCATAAGCTTGTAGGAGTCCCCTGCCTGATTCTGGGTTTTTAGTATGGGAGTACTGAGGTGAGAGACTAAACAATCTAAGGAAAAACAAATGTTTGAGGACCAATAGCTCCGTTTAAGTGCATGTAGCACCACTTACACCAACTGATTTTTAAGCATTGCAGTTACAGGACATCAATGCTGGTAACTTTAGAAAAAAGTTTGGAAAAAAAGAAGGAAGCACAAGGGGTGTATTCCAGTGGGTGCTTTCCATTATGCATCAGTCAAACTTGGGAGGAGACCCCTTCCCATTGAGTATTTTGTTTCTATATGATCCACAATTTTGACAACAGCTACTGAGTATCACAGACTTTCTTTTTTTTAATTAAAAGCCAAATTGACTTTGGTATGAGTGCTGCATGGTGCTTCATAGATTTCTGCTGCACAACAGCTATCAGTAGCTTTGTAGCTTTTTTTAATTGGTGATCACCCATTTATTCTTAATATAATTCTCTCTTTCTCTGAAAGCGGATGTGCTGTGACTTATTGATTATTTTGTCAGGCTTTCCTGATCAGACAAATATATAGTAATAGAAATGTTACCACTATCAAATTGTGGTGTCAATAACTCTATAGTAACTCTTGCTAGTAAAAGGTATTTTTTCTTGCTTCTTATGAGCTACTGGCCTACTCTCTGTATAAACTCATGAAGCATGTGGTTATGGGGAGTGAGAATCTCTAGTCCTTTGAATGCTTTTGTTTCCTTAAGAGCTGCTTCTGAGTCATATTCACTGTTACTGACGCAGATAACTTTTCACCTCTGTCAGCAATAGTACTTGTATATAGAAGGAGTGACAATCTTGTCTGTCTCACTGAGCATCATCAGTAGGGCCATCTTATTTCCATTTCTGACTATTTGTCTTTAGCATTAATCTGTGAAGCAGAAAGAACACTGCCTGATGGGGCAGCTGACACAGAGGAAAACCTTTTTACCTTTTTACTTTCCTTTTAAAATCAGGAAAATATGAAAGGCAGTAAGTCAAATGTGAACATTGGTTATTAGGATCTGTATTAATGCCACTTTCATAGCTGCTGTGCTGACAGTAAACTTCTTGCTGCATTGATTTGCAACATGATTGAATTTCCTAAAGAACATATATTACACTGAAAAAAAAAAAATCTCCAAAAATAACTAAGTCTTTATAGCTGCGACTCCAAAGTTTAAATTGGAAAATGCTGTTGTAGTGTCTTGTGGGAGCTCTCGTTCACTTATTGTACCCCCTCCAGTGTTAGGGGCTTCCCTGACCACTGCTATGTGGGAGAGAAATCCTCATCCAGGAGGCTCTTTTGGAATTCTGGACTTCTGCCACTTAACCTCGCCCAAATGGCAGTTTCAAGAGTCATCAGACACACCTCAGTATTGCTGTGGAAGATGCATTTTTCTTTAATCAATAAATCAATACTGTGTATCATCTGATACCAGTTGGCAGGCATGTTGGATGGAAGCATCTCACCACCCCGACGTGACATGCCGACCAAAGTTTTAGCTATAGTAGGCCTCCACTAAGGTTGGTGGCAGCTGAGGACTTGGCCACGTCTCTTATCCACCACATGTGTATTCAACCTTTGCCAATAGTCTGAATTCTTTTAAGGTATTAACCCAAGATGTTTGGCTTACAAATTCTTCACAGGCCCAAATCTGGACTTAATGCAGGGATTAGTTTAAGCCTATGCAATATAAAAGATGTTCCCACTGGGATATACCCTCCTTCCACTAGAGAAAAGCCAGTTTACACTTCATGTACTGTAAAGGAATTGGCTATATGAAGGTGGTCAGCTGGGGCAACTGTGAAGGTGTTGCACTCTTTTGCATCATCTTAAGCTTGCAAAGAAAACTTCCACTGTGAATTTTTGAGATTTTTGTCTTTCCTACTCAGACAGCTGCAGGTACTGTAGAAATTAAGAATCTTATCGTTACTTACTCAGAACTGACCCCATTTTCTTCTGCTCTGAATATCTTGCAAAGCCAGCAAGTATTTGGGCTCATTCTCCTAAACATGGAAAATATGTGAGTTTTCAACCTGCTGTGCTCAGTTCTGGCTATCTTAAATTCCACTTATAGTTAAGTTTCCATATAGTAGTGCTACCAGTTATAGCAGTATTCTTATTTTATGCATCTAATCTTTATCTATGAGTCATGTCTGAAGCATTAAACCAAAATATATTTTTGTAACATGCATGCAAGAACTTAAAAAAAAAAAAAAAAATCAAGCAGTCCAATGGATATCTCTTAGGTAAAAATAGAAGTGTTAATAATTCTCCCTCTTTGCTTCTCCAACTGTGAAAAAAGATTACAAGTTTGAGCCTGACCCAAGGCAAAAGGAAACCAGGAATCTTTTCCCTGAAAGTTCAGGGTGACCTGGATTCAGGGATCAGAGCTCAGTGTAAACTGGACAATGCTGAGTAACTTCTTAAGTGTCTGAGATTAACATTGATATTTGTCCAGCAAACATCTCAAAGCCAATAAAAAATTGGTATTAAACTTGTTTTTCTGTAGAGAAGATATCCATAAGAAAGGGTGCAATTTTTTTTTAAGGAATGAGGCACTCAAGAATATGTTTGTCTGAAAAAACAAAATTTAAAAAAAAAAAATCTTATGACTTGAAGTATGTTTATTTCTTCTTTGGCTTTCAAGAGATGCCAAATTCTTTGCAAAGTTTACATGGGACAGTGGGTAAGTTTGTATATACCTGCCTGAAATCAAAACAATAGTCTTATACATTATTTAAACTCTCAGGGTTTTTTTCAGGTTTGGGTGTGACTGGCACATACTGTTCCTACAACCAATTTTTTCTTCAAACTGAGACATACAATGAAACATGAAACACAGCTGTATCTCCCAGCATTCTGAACCTGTGAAATGATTGCATTTACTATTAGTCTTATTTTCCTCGTTTCCCTGACATCTATATCCAATTCTGCATCATACGGGGATCTTATCCAGTAGATTTCCTACAGGATATTGAAACTTCATAACTCTGCCTGACTGCTGTACTGCTGCTCAGGCTTCCTGCAGCCCTGTGGGATTGCCAGTGGCCATTGCCCATTTCCTACTTTTGTGGAATTCTCTGAGCTACACTGTCTGCTTGGTTTCTGTATGACTTCCTCTACATTTGCCTATTCATTACACTAATATTTACTCATCTCACCTTCTGCCTAAAAGCAATCTTTTCAAACTACACAATTTTCTATATTTAAGATAAAGTTATGCATTTAAATTCTGGCATATGGTTATCAATTATCACCTTATTTCAGACTATTTTACCCAATGCCCTATATTTTGAGTGTTTTCATGTTGTAATCGTTAGTCTTCTATTCACTGAAATATAAATAAAATACAGCCTTCATATCCACAAAGCTGCAACATGCCCTTGAGCAATTTGTGTCAGTTTTGCATTAGTTAATCTTCACAAGTGCAGCCTGTGACTTTACCTATATTAGGGTCCTATCTTAAATTGTAAATGGTAGCCCATCTACATCTTAACTACTTAATACAGCTTTGCAGTGTTTAGCTAAGTAGATTTGGATCGTGGGAGCTGTTTTCACCTGATACATATAAATAACATGTAGTATCCTTTCTGTTTTCTCGTTATAAGGTTTTATTGCAACAAGGCCACAAATTCTTCAGTGTGTAGGAGCTGCGTGTCCTGCAGGTCTTGTAATCAAAAAGAAATTCGCATGGTTACACCACTTACACAGAAGGAATGACCTGTCTGAGAATAAATGAATCTAAGTCCTGAAGTTATTCACGTCTAAAAGATATAAGCAGTACTGATCTGGAAATGACTGTTTAACTGTTACTGTATTTTACATTAGGAAAATATCAGGAAAACTGCTTTGGTAGATCAAAGGACAAGATCTCTTTATTTTTCAAACTACAACGTACATTTTGGTTTTTCCAGCACCCTTATGCTGTGCCAGTGAATCTGTAAACTTCCTAATGTCGCAGTTTTTAGTGCACAGGGCAGGTTTCAGCAGAGCCTTCAGAGAGAAACTGCTGAATAAAAGCTCTAATTAATTGCCTTCTGTAATATCACTCAGCTTAGTTTGTACTAAGACTATTACACAAAATATTCATATATAAGTAGGGATAAAGTTGTTTATACATCAGAAACATTTCTGAAATGAATGCCTTCACTATCCTGAGTTAACTTTAGATGCCAAGAGAAAAAGTAGTGTTTCCCTGCCTATGCTATACTTTTCTGTTAATATTTTGAAGTATAAAACCTCATACTTACAGAAACTCTTCTTGGATCATTTCTCTTGGTTAAAAAGTTTCATTTAGTAGTTGCATTTGTAGGGATAATTTTCCAAATTCCTTGACCTGTTTTTTTTGCTTCATTATTTTCTTTTAGTGTAGAAGCTCTTTACTACCCTTTGGCTGTGTCTATGCTGCTCATGTTAGTGCCTGACTCCTTTCTTATACATACCATAGGGAAACAGTGGCTGTGGTTTCTACCAGAAAAAGTTCAGTTGGACTCTGATGCATCACTGATAGAGGCTGTTTGCTCCGAAATTATCTTGTATCTCTACTGATCAGCTGTAATGAAATGAAGCTGTGTTTTACCTCATTAAAATCGTGCCTGTATTGTCCAATTTTTGTGACTAATATTTTCCATCTCTTTATCAAAGTTCTTTATATGAAATCTAAAGTCCATGTTGAAATGAGATGAAAGGCAAAAGTACCCTTGCACTAAAACCAAGTTTCATCCTCTTACAGGCAGCATTATGAAGCAAGTACTTTGGATTGCTGTGGGAAGAGCCTTTATTTTCTGCTCTGACCCGTTAGTGTGAGGCTTTTATGTGCTTCTAACTGGTCAACTTGGCATTGTACATCATTTGAGTGACGTCAGAGCAGAACTTTCTTTAAATTCGTATGAGGTCCTCTGCCATTTTTCTCATAGCTGTTCCCCAGGTTATGGCCTCATTTTAAATTGAGACTCAAGTTATTTACCTTTCACTTATTCTTCTCTAGCTAAGTGTTTCAAAGCAGCCATGCAGTGCAATAGCGCTGAAGTTGCTCTGTTCGTGCCAGTGGTGGACTTGTTCATAGTGATACTGGGGCTTTGGGAATAAGCACTAGCTTAACTAAGTGTTGTAAATTAGTCACTGGGACAGGGGAAAGTCCTTCTAGAAGGCTTTCTGTCCTTTCTGGGAGTAGTTATGAGTTGTGATCTCTGGGGATTTGCCAGTGTCTACAAGGCACAGACTGACTGTGTCAAGAGGGAAAGGTTGGTCTTCTCCTTGCTCCATCTGACAGCCAGCTGTGTGCAGTGTGCAATGTTTCTTTCAATCTTATCTCTCTGTTTTGATTAATCTTTCTTTTTCTCTTATAATGCCTCCTAGGCAAAGCATGAACAGTGTAGTATTTGAACTTAAATTGAAGTTTGAGCCTACAATAGTATAGTACACTCATTTATTTTATTGCAGCTCACCCTACTGGTATGCAGGCCTAGTGCAGAAGGATGTACATCCATTTTCCAACAGTGATGATTCTGCTAGGGAGGAAACATGTGGTGGTGTGCTCACCTACAGCAGAACCTGGTGTCTGAGCAGGGTAGCATGAGAGCCTGCTTGTAAGGAATTTACCATGGGACCTGACCTGTGCTTACAGAAAGGAAGGGACAAATATCACAATGTGATCTATTTTCTATGGATGCTATTTCATGAAATCTTACTTTGTATTCTTCCTGCCTTCACACAGGTTTTTGGAGTATTTTGTTCCATTCCTATAATAGGAATGGGCAGGGGCAAATATCTATGTAATGTGACTTGAGTTGATTATTCAAGTAATTGCAATAGTGAGATGATCCAACTTTCTCACATGCCTCCTCAAAAATAATACTTCTAATGCCTGCATATCAGGCAGTTATATACTAAAAGCATCTGAGGGAATTAACTTTGGCCTGAACTTGACAAGCTAAAAATGTCTATAAAGAATCTTACTTGCAGAGCTACTTAAATTAAAAAAAAGAAAAAAAGGCACCATATGAATAAATGTGACTCTGGAAAAGTTACATAATGAAAATCCAAATTAAGTTGATAGTCTCCACTTGTGATTTGAAGGAGTATTTAACTATTTGATTTACATATATTTTGTAAAAACCTTGTGTGTATACAAATGTACATATGCAAGTTCTTTTTCAAAATCTTACATATATCTTATTTTTGCAATAAATTTTATTGGCATTGAAGGATAGGTCATCTAAAATCTTAGTATCAAAATGAATGGTAATGAACTATTTAGGGCTTCTTTCTATCATCAAGTGATGTTCATTTCCAGGACACTGTATATGAGATGATCTTTTTGTAAATTTAAATTGTGCAGTGACTGAGTATCAGTAACCAGTGACTTTGTATTCAAATATTTTCTTTTACATATTACAGACATTAAAAAAATACTGTAATGTTGCTTAAAATTGAAATAAACTTGGTTTGGGTTTTTTTTCCATAAGGTTGTTTTTACTATTAAGCTGAAGAAAATACTTCTCCAAACCTCCTCTTGACTTGTACAGTGGGAAGATATTTAGATGCAGGATTTGTTGCTTATTTTATGTCTGCGGTTTTGTTGTATCCTTGACCATGCTCTAAAGCACCATCTGAAATTTAATGGGTATTTGCAGGCACTTAGGATTGCCTGAGCACCTTAGCATTGCATGGTTGACTTAGTGGCAAATCTGTGCTTCAGTCATTGCAGAGGAACTGTAAAACCAGAGAATCTGGCTGGCTAGGAAGCCCTCAGAGACTGAGGGACCCTGAAGGGCTATGGATATGTTCCTGCCTGCCGTCACTGTGCCTCCCAACCACTACGAGGACTCTATCTTCTTACTCCCAGCAGGACTGCTACCATTCAAGCTTGTTGCTATTTCATTAAACTTGTTGCAAATATGATTTTACAACTTGTTTCTCTGAGTCAGCTGCTTTCCACTACCGTTCTTTCATAGCTTCATACACAGAACATTACCTTTCTCCTTCCCTTTCCAGAAT